GAAATCACCCCCGGGGAGATGGCCACGCCGCAATCCTTTCTCCTCCATTCTCTCGGGATCTTGGGCACGCACGCACACACACCCAGTGTGAGTTTAAGCGACCGGGTCTGGGATGCAAACCGCGGTTGGCTACATGGGAGTTCAGCAACATAGCCATTATGCTAACTGCTGGTCCCGGCAGTTGTGTTCTAAACTGCAGTGATGCAAGCCACGTGCGGACTATGGTTCGAATCCCCCACCTGTGGCCTAAAACATGCTGGTTTGGGCTCAAGTGCCCAAGATCCAACCTGCTGGAGGAAGGGGCTTAAAGTATGACCAGACCTGAGGGAGGGTGCCTCTCACTGTGTGTGTGTGTGTGTGTGTGTGTGTGTGTGTGTGTCTCCCCTCTCTTTCTTATACACGTACACATACTCTACCATGCATAGAGAAAAAACAAAAAACAGAGACCTCGGTGAGGGATGAGATGTACAAGGTAAAGAGAAAAATGAGTCACAGCTGCCCCTTTGGCCCCTTGGGGGTTGGTGGCAACTTGTTGGTGGGTGCAGAGAGGTGCTGGCGGGGGGAGGGGAGTCTCTGGGGGGGGTTAGAGGGAGTGATGATCCTTTCGGTGGGTTGATCTTAGGCTGCTAAGACATGCAGTGAGCAAAGGTCCTTGGACATTTTAATGTCCAAGCTTACAATCCACTGGCAGCCATAGAGGACCAGACCTCATCACGCTAGCTCTTCTCGCCTCGCAGCCCAGCTGGACCTCACACTGCGCCAGGGTAAGTGTCCTGACATGCCATGCCTCTGGCTCGCTGAGCCACCCGGGAGGGCTCAGGCACTGTTCTCACTCCATCAGGCACCGTGCCCGCACCATCACTCACTTCTCAGCTTTGCCTGTGGGCCTGGGTGGCTGGCAGCTTGGGACAGCTAGCTTTCCAAATATGTATTTTGTTTTTGTTTTTGTTTTTGAGAGGTTTTTGCTACAGGGCATGTGCGCTCACCAGGAAGACAGAGAGAGACAGAGAGACAGAAAGTGAGAAATCACCCCC